ATTTTAATTTTTATTTCTGTCTTAACTTTATTTTTATTTATATTCATTCAAACTTATTTAAATTGCTTTATTTTTTATCTCTTTTTTTTTATAATTTCTCACAATTGTTTCTCTTTTATTTCTCACTTCATTTAATTTACTTTGCATTTAAGTTTTCACAAGTTTTTTTTTTTTTTTTTTTTTTTTTTTTTTTTTTTTTTTTTTTAAGTTTTCATTTTGTAATTATCATTTTAATTTCCTTTATTTTGATACTTTTTTTTTATTTTTTTTTAAATTCTCACTTTTTATTTAATTTAATTTACTTTGTTTTTTAATTTTTCAGGAGTTTTTTTTATTTTCTTTAATAGTTTTTCATTTTTCACAATTCTTGTATCAATGTTTTTATTTTACTTTCACTTCTTTTAAAATTTTTATTTGTAAACTACCGTAATCTAGTGATCCGCGTCGCGGGCTTTAGGGGCTGTAACATAACGTTACGTCCTTTTCACAATTAAGTTACTGGGGCGCCACCTGAAGGCTTGACTTTTGTCGGAAATCCTTTCTTCGGGTTTCGAGTACCTGTTTAAAAACAGGTCCCTGCTCGGGCGCCAATTAATTCAATGTTAATTTATTTATTTTTTTAAAAATTTGTGATTGCTGCTTACTGCAAGCAATCACGTCTTTATTGGTTAAGGTTCCGGACTACAAAGTAAAGTATGAAATAAAACTACCCTAACTTATACTTTGGATTCATGCACCCAGATGATACTGGACACCTGCTCGTGTTGGCGATGGAATGTTGCTGTCTGCCTGTTGGATGTTGTTGTCAGTGTTTCGGTGGGAACTGCAGTGTCAGCAAAATGACACGCTTATACTTTGGTTGATGAATTCTTTGGGTTGCTAATGTTGAATTTGAATATGTCTGGTGTTAACTTATATATACTTTGTGGGGTGGGTAAAATTTATATTTTAAGGTGTTACAAAGGGAATGACAAACTTAATATACCCTCTATACTATGGTGAAGGGTATAAAAACGAAATTTGTTAAGTACCTTTCCTGGGTAATTGAACGTATTAATTTTGGAATTTAGTATATCAAACCAGTCATTTGCCAGCTGAATAAATTCGGATGTTATGTGTGGTTGGTACATCTCATGACCATGGGCATCACATCGTAATATTGCATTTGCTGTTGTATTGGATAAAAGTTGTGCCGCCAATTTGACTTTTTGTCTTCCTTTAATTAAATAAATGTATTCATATGTTCATCGGCTTGCTATTGAAATGTAAAACCTATCAAAACTCACTTAGGTGACTATAACCTTTGTAAAAAATGAAATGTATAAAATTATATCCTATGTGAAAAATAACTCAATTAATCGAAATCAAGCCCATTCGAAGGTCCCAAACTGTCTGAAACTGGATTTGTCACGACATCTATGGGGAAGTAAAATGTGCCACTGCGTTGGCAAATATATAAATATTTTGCTTCGTACGAGATTTAGAATGTTGACCATGTATCGGAAAATACCAGAAGGACGTTTAGCAACTAATTTATTTTATTATTTGCAAAGATTGGAACAGGTATGGATATAATGCAAGTTATTTTCATACAATGTGGGACCTTTGAGCAAGGGTAATGAATCTACGTTCGGTAAAAACATTACGATGTGAGAAGTTTAGACTAAATGGTGGACTATGTAGAATTTTCCTCGTTCGTGCATGGGGTCTGAAAGAGTTAACCGACATATACCATCCTTACTGCAACGATTTATTAACAATAGAGACTGGAGTACGGATTATTGTTATTGTAATGCATATGACGGAAATAAACTGACCGGGTCCATTCACCGTTAAATGTTCATTATTTATTTTGAATGTAATTGATGTGTCGCTGCTGGACGTGTGCTTTAACAAATCCACAATTGTTCTGCTAGTAATTACGTGTCCTTTATAATTCAATCCTGTATCTAGATAATGATTCCGCAACAACTTCAGTAAATGGGGAGCGTCTGCAAATGCAAAAATTTTGTTCCCTTTGTTGACAGGGTTTGGAATCCATGGCTTATCTTAAATAAAATTAATATTAATTGTAAAAGGAAGACAGTGAAGTCAATATATTACCATGGGAAATGCCTAATGTTTTCCATAACTTTTGATTTGTTGGGCCCATATCACATAAAATCGCAACAACAGTATAACCAGCGCCGTTGAGTTTTTCGATTATTTTAAACAATGTAACCTTGTCCATTTCCCGGTCAAATTCGAAGAATATGGGTTGCTTCCACGATGTAAGCAAACCCCGAACCATTACTACCTGTGCATAGTTTGCAGGATTTCTCACTTGATCTTTGGCAGGGTCATATTCGTATGATTCAACTACCTTCATCTCATCAAATATAAGGACACATATCCTGTCTTCTTCAGAGAGGTCCTCTTTATGTTTCATTAAATCAAGAGCGGGCGACATAATTCCTTCATTTACTTGAACTTTCCGAGCCCAAGTTTTTAATGTGGAAACGCTTGGTAAAGGATATCCTTTGTTGTAAAGGTGCTTATATGCTCTTGGGCCGGCGGCATGAAGGCATGTTGCCTGGGAAATGTCTTCCCATTTCCATTGCGAAGAGCTTGGACAAATAATTCTTCTTATTTGACCCTCTGTAAATATTTTTCGGAAATGAGCAATACATCTTTCCGATTCCGCGAGTTTAATCTGTAGTTCGCTATTTTCATAACGTAGATTTCTAATTAGTTCTTCGTTTTCTTCGTTCTTTTTACGCATTTCTTTATATAATTCTATGGGCCTAAGTAAAATTGTATAAAATAATTTCATGGTAATTGATTTATCTCCAAATTATAGATTAACATACTACAATATTACAAAAGTTGGTCCTACTAGAAAGCACAGATCTATCTTTTGTCTGCAGGCAGGTCAAGTTCTAACGTCTTCGTATCCCCATTATTTCATGTGAGCGGTATTATCCGACGGATTTTTTTTTAATTTCTTCCAAATGGTAAAGGATATTTTTACTTGTTGAAATTTACCTCGCAGAAAAGATAATTAGAGGAGAAATGTCCCCCTTTACCGCTTTTCTAAAATTTTCAAATTAGAACTCTTAATAATCCGTTGATTTTTAGGCACGAGAATTATTTTGGCCGAAAATAAGGTCCTTTTTTTAAATTTGGTAAAAACTGCATTTAAATTGCATTGTAGCATGTCAAAATATAATGTATATCTGTCTAAAATTACACCATAGGTCTGATAAGATAGTAAATGTCTAAATTTGGTCTAAACACCAAGATTTCATATATATTTTATGTAATACCCAGACAAAATAGCTCTGTTTTACAGTCCTCTAATAAAGACATATGAATTTGGCAAAAACAACAATCTTATAAAGCCTGACTGTTCTCAAAGTGAAATGACCTATGAATTTCGGATGATATTTCGCAGTTAACCTTAACGAATTTTTCTTTGCCAACTGTTTTCCCTTCTAATTGTAAGAGTAATTGTTGCTTGTACTATAGCACTTCATTGAAATAATTAATATTGATCTCAATTTGCGCCAAATAAATATATGTTATATTCAAATAATGAAAACCTCACTCGGTTTGTGCTGCTGAATCTATCATTTGATCATTATATTCCATCCAAACAAATCTGAACTTAAACACAATTAAAATAATACATTTTTATGTATAAGTTTTGCTCTCCTTTTTATCTTTTTCCATCTATGGTGCACGCCAGACAGAGAAAAGACGGATGAACATGACAAGTTCGACTATAAATTTCTGAAATGTGTGCAAAGAAACACATTTTCTGAAATTTTTGGATCCATATCGGGAAATATGGATCAATATTCTTTCTTTTTCTACACCATAGAGTGGTATATATTACAATTAAGAACTACAGGAAGTGATATCTCAGAGGAACTTACTCTGTATGTGTGTCCATTTTTTCCGGAAATTGTGTCGAGTTCAGCATAGGACTTCTAAAAAGTATGAAGGGTTATATCTACATCATTGAAATTGATATTTAAGAAACTTACTCCGTGTATGGTACGATATTGCCTTGACTTTTAGTAATTTTTGAAAAATACTTCCTAAAAGCAAATCGTTATTTCTTTTTTGGCACAATAATTACGCCTACTCACTCGGAAATGTTTGTCAAGGAAATAGACGGAACAGCGTTTGGCATTAAAGAACATCTTGTGTTCCGTTGTATCACGTCCGCTGGTAGGAAATGGTCTTCACAAATACGATCTTTTGGCTTAAATGCAACGCCACAAGCTGCAGACCATTTCAATCTTCGTTTGATATCAATAGGCACTTTAAAAAAATGTTTTGTTTGTTCACAAACTAACTTTTTACACACTGCACAATTTCTCATTTTTTTTATTTGAAATAAATAAGTTATGTTTAACAAACTTAAACTTTCGCGAAAATTGAATACAAAATTTGAAAATTATGACGTTTTTGAAAAATTAATTTTGATTTTGAAGTATCGAATTTGTCACATCAGTCACAAAAATATCAACTCTGCTTTGACAATATAGGCCATAATTTAAAAAAAATTGTACTCAGCTGTGAGCACTGCCCTACCTTGATATCATTGTACCATGGTGTTTACTAAAAAAAAAAACTTTTACATTTGGTCGGTTCCAGAACTGCAAGAATGTAAAAGTTTTTAATACGATAACGGATTTTCCCTTTATGATATCCAAGAAAATTGCAAAAGAAGTAGATTCTTGCAGCTGCTGGAACAGAGCAATTCTTGAATTTCTGGAACAGACCAATTCTTGCTGTTCTGATACGGGGCAAATTTGTTTCACCATATTTCCATTTCTCTGTTTCAGAACTGAAAAGAATCTAAAAATGCTTATTTAAATAACCGATTTTTCCCTTATGACATCAAAAACATATCGCGAAACTACTAGACTCTTGCACGTTCTGAAACAGAACACATATTTTCTCTGAAGATACATGTTCTAGTTCCGAGAGTTCATTAACTGAATAATTCCATTGAACCTCAATCAGCTGTTTTATTTAGTTTTTTTTAAGAGACATGGATATTTCTCGACATAATCTATAGATTAAACATTAAACAATGTTTTCATCCACAACTACCCACAATTAAGAAACAAAAATTAATGTTGAAATGGAAAAAACCTGCGGTAAATTTATTTTTTGCCTGGCTATGTTGATGCTGGCCTTAGGCCAGCAATTAGTCTCTGGCATGTTGGGTATGTATTGTAATTGATAAATAAAATCAAGGTACAAGATTAGATTTTGCGTTCTAACTGAATGGTGATATCTTGCAGGTGATTCACATCATCCACCGCTGAATGATATTGTCACAACACAGGATATTATAGCCGGTGATGTTTTCTTTGAAATAACTGAACCCTATTCGCTGGAATACACCTACCGTCTGAGGCCATCAAAGGATTTTGGCACATCGTTTTCTCAGCGTTTGGAAGGAGTAGCTTTGGTGCCGACCATACCATCAGATGGCTGCACGAAAATTGAAAATAAACGTGCATTGCGTGGAAATGTTGCACTCATCGATAGGGGGTAAGTATTTCAGGTGATGGTGATATGAATGGATTATAAGTTTATTCAGTCAAATTTAGGATTTATGTATTATAGATTGATCTGTAATAAGAAAAGCATATAATCTATTGTCTTAAACGTAATAACCGGACACACATTTACCTTTTCCATGTGGAAACAATGAAAATCGTCACAAATCAATGGGAAAAAGAATATCGTCATCCACTTAACTCAAACCTTTAATCCATCGTGCTCAACCTGGAAACCTGCTTGGTGGCAATAAGGAAGTGGAATGGGAGGGGTTTCGTAAGAATGTCTCGCAAAATGTAACAAGAGGTATTTGACAAAGTTAAAAACTGTAATTGGATCTATGCCCAATACAAACAGGACATCAGAAGAATAGGAAATTTGCGTATTTTTTCTACAATGATTGGTAATAATACCAACAGGTATTGCGTTTTCCACTTGGTACTTGTGAACAAGAACCCTATATAGCTTAACGAAACCACATAACCGTAATTTTTTAGTTTACTTTTTGACTTTTGTAGTGGGTCCAAACTAAGAGTTGAACTCATGCGCACATCCTCATATCAGCCCTACGGCATCTTCGGCATAGGAAACTACTTTAGATATCACATAGTACCAAGGGCAATTGTTTCTGTCGTCGCTAATTGCCCCTGTTTTGGACAACCTCCGGTGTTCCTCAGAGCTTTCTAGGGCTAGATGGCCCTAATTCTTCGTACCCCATCGATCCAATTAATACATTTGGGGACAATTAAAGAAATATTTAGTTTGCTGTTGTTGTAACAGCTCATACTGCTATGTTCCGCCAACAACGAGACTGAAGTTAGGTGAGTAGGTTTGGTTGCACAGCGAAATAGTTGCCGCGTGTCATGTGGTCTTGGCCACAAGCTGGGCAGGTGTTCTGCACATCGCTGTCGATTCGGTCCCAATAGGAATTGAGGCGGCTGCACTATCCGGATCTTAATTGAGCCAAACATGGTGCTCAAGAAACATTTTGTGCTTCCTGTTGTCTAAGTTTTAAGTCTTCTATGACGGACAACCTAATGTAAGTTCCCCGTAGAAAAGCTAATATCGAATCTGAAGTATTCTGCAGAATCTACCCTAGGAAAACATAAAGCAGTTTTTGATCATATCTCCTTCTCAGCGAAATTTTAAATTTTAAATGTAGCGAAAAATCTGATAACACAGTGAGGCCTAATGATTCCCTTTTCATCACGTATTTTCAAATTGAACGGAACATAGAGTTGATAAGGAATTCTTCTATTTGAATTCCCATACCACATTCTTATCTCTAAGTCTTTATGTAATCTAAAAAGAAAAGTCTCATTTGGAGTTGTATGGATCGGATTATGATGTCACAAGGGTCAACAGACTAAGGAAATATGATATAATTATTGAAAAGAGATATCTCATTTTCTGATGTAAAACTACATGTTAATGAAAAAATCGAAGTATTTAACTATTCTCCAATTGCTAGACAAGTCGTACAACTATCCCATTCATATTTTTATTTAATAATTCATTGTTTATTAATTTCTAACATATTTTTTTTTAATTTTTTTTTTTTTTACAGAGAATGTTCATTTCTAACGAAAACGATAAATGCCGAAATGGCCGGAGCAATGGCAGCAATTATTACAGAATTCAATAGTGAATCCAGTGAATTTGACTATTACATAGAAATGATACATGACAAAACCGATAGAGATACACAAATACCAGCTGGTTATTTACTTGGTAGAAATGGTGTAGTTATCAAGAATACCCTACAACGTCTAAAACGATCATATGCCCGTATAAATTTACCTGTTAATTTAACTTTTGTACCACCATCTAAAATCAATCATCCACCCTGGTTGGGTTGGTGAGGAAGGCGCTAGTTGGCAATTTGAAGAACTGGATTGGTAATGGAAAGTGAGAGCAAATAGAAAATATATAAGAAAGGCCTGCGATACAACTGTAAAGTACAAGAGATGTGTGAAAAAAGAATGACGATTTTTTCGCTTCAATACACTGTGTTACTTTAAACCAAAGTGCATTCTATAACTAATGTCCAAAATTGATAAGACGTCAAATATCAGCATCTTGTTATTTTTTAGTTGATTTTACAAAACTTCTATAGCAAAAGGGGGAAAAACTAAATGATTTATGAAGTAGTTATTTTTTCCATAATTTGTTTTATATAACTTTTTGAAAAGTAATACTATTTTTTTCTAAACATGTAACCAAAAGAGTGAGATTTTTTTGTTACAAGAGAAAATATTGCAGCTAATATTGATATTATAAAAGATATTTTTGATTTTTCTTACCTAAAACAAAATATTTTCAAATTTGTAGCATTCTTCGACACTGTGTAAATGACATTTGTTTTGAATTTCCATTACAATTTTAATGATCGACCCAAAAATGGCTTTATTGTTCCTTTTATTTATTTTTTAATATCGATTCTTGTCAATGTTTTAGTTCAAATTATTTTATTTAAAATGTACATAATAAAACAATAATTTTAAAGATGATAATGAATGGGATTTTGAATGTTTAAAGACTTTTAGAATTGAAGCACAAAACTTGTAATTTTGGAATATTAGTTAGGAGACAAATTCCTTGCAGGAATTGCCAGTATTTTCCTCCGAGCCATTCAAGGCTTCAGGCAAACTTAAAGTCTGCATCGAAAGCATTTTGTAACCCTCATCAAATAGGATACGAATAGAAATAGACTGGCGTAGACCGACCTCTGCAAAAGATGCGAAGATACCACCGGCCAAAACCGGTATATCCATTTTCCATCGACAAGATGCGATCGAACAAGATCTTGTGGTGAATATCACATTCAGTTCTGCTTTCGTCTTCGGGAGGTTTTTTTAAGTCCTAAATTGGTTCCGCAAAACAGCCGATCTCGAGTAATATTCATGTCCACGTGTGTTAAAATCCAAGACGAACTTCGGGTAGAAAACCGAAGTGCTCTCAGAATATGTACTTGGATGCGCTTTGTGGTGACAGTTTACTTCAATTTCAAATCAGTTAGGAAAAGTCAAAAGTCGGGCGGGGTCGAATAAATGATACCCTACACCAATATGCATATTTAGTAGAGCTCCCGTAACAAAAGAATTTATTGGTAGTGGATACCACCTCTCGATAATTGGCTTTAGAGCAGTTATGGTTTGGTTTCAGAAGGAACTAACATATGGTAGGCATATGCATTTTAATCTTTTATGATAAATAACATTGCTATAGAGTGCATGATATCACTTCGAGAAGAATTATATTAAAATATATATATATCGGAGCCGAGTTCCACAAAATGGAAACGTGCGTCCCGAAATTCACTCCATTTGGCTGATTTATGCCATAATTTGCAGAGTAAACCTGAAATTGGAATAAGGATATATATGTGAGCTGTAGCCAAATCTTAGCCGCTCTCGATAAAATTTGGCAAAAGTATTTCCGAGCTCTATAAGATAACGAATGCATATTACGAATGGGAGGGACTTAAACACCAAATCCGATGAAACATATCCGAAACGATTTTCTCCGATGTCCGATGTACTTACTTCTAGACTGAATTCGGTCGGATGTACCAAAATTCAGGTCTTTTGGACTGATATTTTCTATTTGGTGAACAATTAACCCGAATTCGGTAGAGGATATATATGGGTGCTACATCTAAATCTTAACCGATTTTGACAAACTTTGATACACTTATTTCAGAGCTGTATCTGATATCTAATATCAAAGGTTATTGTTGTGGAGTGCATATTACGCTTGTGAGGGACTTTAAACCCCAAATCGGATAAAACATATATATGGGAGCTATAGCTATATCTGAACCGATTTACACTAAATTTAAAGAACTGGTTTCTGGGTTGAATTCAGTTGTAATTACCAAAATTCAGTCCATTTGGGCTGATTTTAGCAATTTGGTGCACAATAAACCTGATATCGGATAAGATATATATGGGAGCTATATCATAATCTGAATCGATCTCAATAAAATTTGACAGAAGTATTTTCGAGCAGTGTCTGATGTCCGGTACCAAATATCATTCTTGTGGAGTGCATATTACGCATATGAGGGATTTTAAACGCCAAATCCGATAAAACATATATATGGGAGCTACAGCTATATCTGAACCGATTTGATGTACTTGCTTCTAAACTGAATTCGGTCGGATGTGCCAAAATTCAGGTCATTTGGACTTACATGGCCATTTGGTGAGATATATGGGAGCTATATCTAAATCTAATCCGATTATCCCCAATTTTAATAGGGTTCGTCCTTGGGCCAAACAAATATTCAGGGCTGTCACAGAAACCATGTTGTCGTTTTTGTAAACCAATTTTGGTTTCATTTGGTGTCATGAAACCAAGTTGGTTTTGTCAATTTCGAATGGAAATAAAACAAATGGAAAATTTCGTATCAATGGGATAATAAGTGCTACCTGCAATTTGTTCACATAAATACATGGACAAACGCACTAAATCGACTCAGAATGTGATTCTATGAAGATCCTCAAAATTAACTGGAACATGGACACATTTTATTTATTTATTCCAAATCACATCAATTTTATTTCCCACAATTTTCAATATAAGTTTACATAAGACATTTACATATTAACGGCGACGACGACGTCTCGAGCTTCTACGGACTGGTTGACTGCGTGAACGACTACGAGAGCGGCTGCTAGATGCACGACGTCGTCTTCGACCTCTTCGTGCGGGAGGATCATCGGCATCGGTTGTGATTTTATCCACACTTTTTGTTTTGGGTACAACAACTTCCACGTTTTCAGCAACCATATCGGATGTTTCCTCGGGAACGAAGTAGTGATCATTTCTTTTTCCAATATACCCATATCGGACGCCAGCTTCCAGCGCAGATTTTGCTTTGTTCATAAAGGCCACATTAAGGGGTTGATCGACATTTAGAGCAATTTGTTCAACCACTTTTGTTAATTGTGCCGGCTGCTGCATATCGTCTAAAATGTTTAATAACTGCTGGCCTTTAATCACGGGTGCCATTTTTTCCAAAAAAGAAAAAAAATAAATTAAAAATTACACAAAATATAAACCAAATATATGGGGTAAAAAAACTGAATGAGAATGAAAAATTTTCCTATGACAGTCAATAAGTTTTCCAAGGCCTGTTGGTATTAAATTCTTTTTTCAGTTTTTATTGGAATTTGAACAATACAGTAGATTTTAATATATTGCGGGACCGTATTTCACGTCCAAGTATATTTGTTATAAAATAGGATTGTCTTTCATCGGCAATCACCCCTCAACTAATGGATAATTTCCTTGCGGAATTGTTAGAATTTCCCACTGAGCCACTTTAGTCTTCAGGTAATCTTGAAGTCTTTTTGGGAATTTTCTTTAAGTGCAAACTTAGATGGAAGAGAGTGAAGATAAATTAACGTACAGGTGTTTAATCAGCACACTCTTCTTGGAAGAAACCCGCAGACCAAATATAGGGATCAGGTCTGTATGATTGCTGTGGTCCGAGAACTCAAAACGGTTTATGAAATTAAAACTTTTATTTATGAAGAAATTATTTTTCGTTTCATTTTCTTTTTCATTTTTAGAGTAAGAATGCAGTCCCTGGATGACAACAATCTGTTAATTCCGTTGAAAATTATGTTTGAAATCATTTAATATGGGAAGGTACAATTATCTATGTACCACAATCTAAACTACAATTTGGACATATATGGGCAGTACTTTACAAGGATGTTTTCTGTCCACTGGGAACACAAACTGCCGATTTTATTTCTGAATCTTATCTCTATCCCTATACTCAATACCAAATGTAGTACCAATCAGTATTTTGCTTACAATTATCGTTCACATTTTCGAAACCACCAGGTTTCAGGCTACACATGAACAGCTACCCCAATACCAAATTTAAGATTTCACGCACTATCCTCTCACCCAATACCAAATTAAAGAGAGTACTATTTAATACTTTAATTTTGAGAAAATGTTATTACTTTTCGTATTTTTTTAGTACGAATTTCCAAAAATCCAGCCTCATTACACCCCTGAGCACAAAGACTACCCTCGTGCAAGATTCTAGCTTTAGGCGTTTCGTCTACGCCTTGATTCTAGGTCAGTCAGTCAGTTTTTCCACTACACTTTTTTGTGTATATAGATTTTGTACCATATCCATTCAACAGTCATCCTAATTCCAAATTTCAGGATTTCAGCCCTATCGGTTCATACAAATTCGAATTGTACCAAATAAAGTACACATAAGTACGAAATTTTCAAAACTTCCTACATATCCCAATCCTACAACCCACAGTTATCCCAATTCCAAAGTTCAACATTCCATCCTTATCGGTTCACCTGAATACAAATTTACCACGATATAGCACAGATAAGTACGAATTTCCAAAACTTCCTACATAACCCAATCCTACACTCCAACAGCAATCTTAATTCCAAATTTCAGGACGCCAGCTCTATTGGTTCACCCAAATTTTAATTGTACCAAATTTAGTACCGTATAGCAAAGATAAGTACGAATTTTCCGAACTTCTTACAAAACCAAATCCTATACCCAAAAGTAAATCCACCAGTAATGTTAATTTTAAATCTAAGGGTGCAAGTACATAAAAGGCTTGAAGTCAAGGCTAGGCATATTAATGTCAAGTTATAATGGATAATGACGGCAGGATTTTAGTGCGGCTCTGTACTCCCTTTATGAAATGTTACAAAATAGGTCTAGCCATGACTTCAAGCTTCTTATGTACTTGTAGCTTAAATTGTACCAAATTTAGTACAATTATGCACACATTTACATAACTACCTACATCATACAGTCCAATAGATATCTTAATTTCAAATTTTAGGATACCAGCTCTATTGGTTCACCCAAATCCAAATTTTACCAAATTTAGTACCATTTAGTACAAATAAATACAAAATTTCCAAAACTACATACACGCTTCAGTCCTACAATGCAAAAGCAATCTCATTTTCAAATTTAGGGATTCCGACTTTATTGGTTCTCCCAAAATTAAAATTGTACCGAATTTAGTACCATTTGGCACACATATGTACGAATTTCTTAGACTACCTACATTTCTCAGTCCATGGTAGGACTAAGAAGGTGAAGTCATGTAACAATTTGTTCAAATTTATACATTTGACAACATCTCATTGTCAAAATTTATATTAATAAATCCATTGTATACACAAAAAATCAGAGATGGGAACTGTTTTTTATGTATTGAAATTTGACAAGGTAAATAACAGAAAATGCAGAGCTGGGAATGCTAATTTGAAATGAGGTTACCTTTATTTCATTTTACCATGCTCCATCTATTCCTCAAAATTCAAATTGTACTAACTTTAGTACCGTTCAGTGCTTTTCGTAAACATGAAACACAATTCCAAAGCTACCTCCTCAAATTTGATTCCCATTTCAATTTTTTAGGTCTAACCCATGGTAGAATTAAGTCATGTAAGCATATGTTTACAATTTTTTCAACATTATTTAGTTGACAACATCTCGATGTCAACATTTATATTTTTAAATCTATTGCATATACAGAAATCAGAGATTGGAAACCTATTTTTCATTAAGTGACATTTGACAAGGCAAATTATAGAAAATGCAGAGATGAATATGCGTATTTGAAAAGGCTTTACCTCCTTAATTTTGCTATTGTCCAATCGTTCAAATGATACGTAAAATTAGTACTTTTCGTACACTTATAGTGCGAACTACCAAAAACCCTTTATTACATCTATCATACACTCCATTAGTGATTCTCATTCCAAATTTAAGAATTCTACCTTCAAATTTAAGAATTCACTTCACCCATCTCGGATTTCTGTATATACAGAGTGAGATAAAAAGCTGCAACAAAGTCAAACGCCATAGTGTATAATTTTTTTTTAATTTTATCTGATAAAAGCAAAAATGTCGGAAATTGCATCAAATTTTAGAATAAGTTTAGATTTGTTCGAATTGGTTACCTTGGCTTGAATTATGCCCTCCAAACGGCCAATGAAACCGTCACACACTGCCCGAATGTTTCTCTGCGGTATTTTGGCTCATTCCCGGCGAAGCGCTTGCTTGAGGTAACCGACGCTTTGGTATTTTTTAGTGGGAACCTTGCTTTCCAAAATACTCCAGACACAATAGTCCAACGGATTGGTATTCGAAAATTTTTGGTGACCATTGTGCACTGGAAATGAAGCGAGGAACCTCGTTTTGTAACCATTCTTGAGTGGCGCGTGCTGAGTGCGATGGTGCTGAGTCCTGTTGGAATGTCCAAGGTCTTCGGTCAAAATGTTTGCATGCCCAAGACTTTAATACACCCTCAAGAATATTTTCGCGATAATACTCGGCATTTATTCTGATGCCACGTTCGATTGTATAAAGTATATATATTCATAATCAACATAAAATTCTAAGTCGATTTAACGATGTCCGTCTGTCTGTCTGTCTGTCCGTCCGTCTGTCTGTTGAAATCACGATACAGCCCAGAGCGCCAAAATTTAGCAGAGCTATTTGCATTGTGTCTAGGATGGTTGGTATTGAAAATGAGATATATCGGTCCACGTTCTGGCATAGTCCCCATATAACGGTACCTCCTGATATTCGGTATTTTGATGATTTATGACACATTTTTTCACGGATTTTTCTGAAAATTGGTATTTGTAGGTCATAACGGGTCCCTGAGCGTGTGGCAAAACATTGCATGTATAGGTCCACGTTGTGGTATAGCCCCCATATAAAGGTACCTCCCGATATTCGTTATTTTAGTTTTATTTTGCCACATTTTTTTAACGGATTTGTCTAAAAATTGGTATTTGTGAGTCGTAATGGTTTCCAGCTCCGGTGGCGAAACATTGCATGTATGGGTCCATGATTTGGTATAGCCCCCATATAACGGTACCTCCCGATATTCGGTAATTTGATGGTTTTTGCCACATTTTTTCACTGATTTGTCTAAAAATTGGTATTTGTGGATCATAATGGGTCCTAGTTCGTGTGGCGAAACATTGTAATTATAGGTCCTCGTTTTGGTATAGCCCCCATATAAAGGTACCTCCCCATAATTGGCATTTTAATGGTTTTTGCCACATTTCTTCTAATATTTCTTTTACCCTAAGGTATGCTTCCGCCGTTCGCGGAAGCATAGCTGAGTGCTACCGGACGCGTCCACGGGTTGCGGATAGTGGGACGCCCGGTAGATATATCGGGTAGCTGCGAATCAAATAAGCAGTCGCGGACAGCTCAGCGGTTTCTAGGGGGAGAGTCTCGGACTAAATACCCGAGTGCCCGTGATCCCTGGTCTCGACGAGGCGGCACTGGCGCCCCTAAACTATCCAGTCAACGGCCTGGTCCACCGCAACGGACCCCCTAATGCTGGGGTGTTACGTAAACCGTGCCCATCAGTATTCCAAGGTTTGCAGTCAGGGTACCGACTGTATTAGAACGGTTGCCTCGTCGATACCTGGGCGCCTCGACGAGTAACAGGCTTAGCTGCCAAGTCCTTACCATGATATGGAGGCTATGTCATGGCGGACCTCGTCACCTCCAATGTCCCGATAACCTATGGAGAAAATAACTAAACAAAAAGCAACAACAAAAACACAAACACTAACCGACAACCAATCAACCACCTCTTCGGAGGTGTCGACCCAGGACATGGCCATGGACAAGATTTTAACTTCGGGCGGGGACGTGACTCTGGAAACGTACAGAGACGTAGTATGTGAAAGCATACAGCGACAGAGTGAACAGCTGTCCGCCCTTCTAGAGAAGACCACTCTAAGGCTCAGCCAAGAGAGTGTGCCCTCCGGTTTTGGGAATGACTCACCCCTCTCCGATGAGGAACTTGACGTCACCGTCATACCCTCATCCTTGAGGGGTGAGACAGCTACAAAAACTATAGAGAGCACTCAATCTGCTGCCATGGGGGGGTCAACTCTTGTGGAAGGGGTTACATCGGTATCTACCGATGCGACCAACCTCCGGATCGAGGATGGCGTCGTGGAAAGGGACACTGAAGTTCCAACCAACCGCGATGCCTCCGGATCGAAGGAGGTAAAAATAAGGAAGGGTTACAAACGGTCGGTGAGGTACTGTAAGAGCTTCATCGGTCGCGAACCCTTACAAATTACAGAGAGGGAAAAAGCCCTGATTAGGGTGAACATGAAGGCAATAAGGAAGTTCGAGAAGAACCATCCGGAAGTGCCTAAATGTACACTCGAAAAGGACCTTGCCTCTCTCTTTACAGCCCCCACTAACAAGGTAAATCCGTCTGAGGATAAGCCAACTAGTGGGGCTGGGGTGAAGGGCAACACCTCTCCCGGCGGTGGAAAGACAGCTTCGGCTGTTGCACCACCAACGGAATCAAGTGTAGCCCCCACCACTTCTAACTCAGGAAAACGGAGGAACAAAAGGAAGGACGCCCCTAACGGAAATTCTGCCCCAGTGGAACCAAAGGAGGCCAAATCCTCTTCTCGGGTAACGATGAAGAGAGGACGGTCAACGGAGGAACCACATCCCGAGGCAAAGAAACCGTTAACGGGCAAACTTCCTCCTCCGCCAACTGCGGCTTCTACGCCAGCAACTGTAGCTGGTAGGGAGGTAGTGGCAAGGCCGGTGCAAGCAGCCTTAGTGGACCCTAGGTCTGCTAATGCGAAGCCTGCTACCACCAACCCACAGCCTTCAAGCCAGCCATCAAGAAAGAGGAAACACTCCCAAACCCTGTACCCGGACAATCTCCGTGTAGCGGTCATCGACCGAGCTGAGCCGGAAGGCAAAATCAGTGAAAGTCGGTGGCTTCTCATTGAGGACCGTCTGAGGGAACAGGTTTTCCTGGGGGAGGATCCTTCCAAGTTACAGTTTGGCAGTGCAACCGTCTACAAGGGAGTGAAGGTCATCTGCTGCGAAAATGAGGAGTCAAAGAACTTCCTCGTGACCGCAGTAGCTGGCCTTCAGGAACTTTGGGATGGAAGTGCACTTGCTGCTGTATCCCTGAAGGATATCCCCTGCAGGAGGATTTTAACAGCATGGGTGCCGCCGCCCTCTGTGGACCCGGCGCGCGTGCTGATAATATTGGGGAAGCAGAATCCCAATCTCTGCACGGACGGCTGGCGCTTAGTTGGCTCAAGTACGGAGGGAGGGGGCCTGGTCATAAAGGTCTCTGTTGATACTGCTGGCCAGGAATACCTTCAGGCTCGTGGAGGGAAGTTGCACTTCGGCACAGGATGGATTCGGTTCCGTCTAACGCCGCCGTCGCAGTAGGAGAAACGAAGCCACAGCTGCTTAGCATTGTGCAGATTAACCTGCATCACTGCAAGGCAGCTGGGGCTGAGCTTCTCCTATCCCTCTCCAAGCTTGAAGTTGACATAGCCCTGGTCCAGGAACCTTACATTTTTAAGAATAAGGTAACTGGGCTAGGGAGTGAGCGGTACATCACCTATGCCACCTCCAATGGGGAAAAGGTTAGAACGTGTATCGTCGCAAAGAAAAACTTAAACTTAATCTTCCTTAACAATTTCAGCGGAGGAGACGCCACGGCGGTCAGACTGGAGACTAGGACGGGCAAAACACTATTCCTCGTCTCCCTGTACCTTCCCTTCGAGCACCCCGACCCACCGGGCCAAGTGGTAGAGGAGCTGGTCTCAGTACTGGGTGGAAAAGGCGGACTCATCATTGGATGTGATGCAAACGCTCACCACTCTCAATGGGGCAGTAGTAACACCAATGCCAGAGGTGAGTACATTTTTGATTTTATCTTATCTCATAATCTCAAAATCTGTAACCGGGGAAAGGAGGCGACTTTTTGTATTAAGAATAGAGAGGAGGTCATAGATCTCACTCTCACTAACATGGATGAATCACTTATACTGAACTGGAAAGTTTCGACTGAGTGTTCCTTCTCGGATCACCGGAAAATAACATTCCAAATTTCGGTAGAGGGATTGAATCAAAAACCGCATAGGAACCCGAGAAGGGCTCGATGGAATCAATTTGCGGAGCATACCGCACGGATGCTTAAGTCCACTGGTGATTTTCCAGTGGCCTCGGCATCGGATGTGGACGACTCCGTCAAGTTGTTAACAAAGATCCTGATCGGCAGCTATGAAAGAGCCTGTCCGCTAACCTTCCCGGGTAAAAGGCACCAGCCTGTCTGGTGGTCGAAAGACCTAGCTCAGCTCAGGAAGACTAGCAGACGCTTATACAATAAGGCCAACAAGACCAAACTGGGTACGGACTGGGAAGCTTATAAACTAGCCTTCAATAAGTACAACAGTGAGATCAAGAAGGCCAAGAGACGGTCTTGGGTGTGTTTCACCGAGTCCATAGATGATGTCAACGCAGCCTCCAGATTCCGTAGAGTACTTTCAAAGGACCCAAAATCCATTGGAAGTATAAAGCGGGCTGATGGTAGCTGGACTGACTCAGGTCTAGAGACTCTCAATCTATTAGCCAGTACTCACTTTCCGAACTGCTCTGATGCGGTATTTGACCGATTGGCAACACGGTCTAGTCAGCATAGTGGGACGGAAGATGTGAATCTGACTAATAGTATTGTTAACACCCCCAAGATTTTGTGGGCCATTAACTCATTCAAACCTTTTAAGTCACCGGGTCCAGATGGCATTATCCCCGCCATGCTACAGCATGCGTCGGCGGAGATAATACCAGTCCTGGAGGTGATATTTAAGGCTTGTTTGCGTCTTTCTCACATCCCACTACTGTGGAGGGAAGTTACAGTCACTTACATTCCCAAAGCTGGGAAGCCAAGTCATGTTCTTCCAAAAGACTACAGGCCTATTAGTCTCTCGTCGTTTCTATTGAAAACGCTAGAGAGATTAATAGACATAGAGATCAGATCTCTAATACCCCTGACCTCTTTAAGCACTGCTCAGCACGCCTATATGAAAGGCAAATCTGTTGAGTCAGCGCAGCACGACGTCGTGGGTTATATAGAGAAGAACCTGAACAGCTCATGTTTCACGTTGGCGGCCTTCCTCGATATCGAGGGGGCCTTCAATAATGTTACATTAGAGGCAATTCACAGTTCTCTCGAAAGACTTAGTGTGCCACCACTTCTCGTCGACTGGATTGATGTTATGCTCAGCAGCAGAATCATCAACTCTAGCATCGGGGAGTGCTCTGTTAGGAAAACGGTCACTAGGGGTACTCCACAAGGAGGCGTTTTGTCACCACTGCTTTGGCTTCTGGTGGAGTCAACCCTTCGGGCACTCTGTCATTCTTAAGTATGTGGAAAACGTAAGTAATCAGGCTATAGCTAGTGACTATATACTCCCTAGGCTCAGCTTTGATCTACTTGACATCCGTATACCAAACAGGGATATCTGGTCCCGTGGCACTCCACCTTTCGACGGTATAGCGGTCTATACTGATGGTTCAAAGATGGAAAGTGGAACGGGTGCTGGAGTCTACTGTGAAAGCCTAAGTATCCGAAGATCCTTCAGGCTAAACAGCGATTGCAGCGTTTTTCAGGCAGAAATTTTTGCTGTCAGAATGGCCATAGAACTGTTGAATAATAGAATTAACGAACGGGATGGACCGGTGACTATATATGTCGATAGTCAAGCGGCCCTAAAAGCTCTAAATTCTTTCACAATCAAGTCTATGACTGTTCTGGAGTGCAAGAATGCCCTGGAAAAGTTTAAGTCAGCTGTCAAGCTCTGTTGGGTCCCTGGGCACTGCAACATATCTGGCAATGAATCTGCCGATGAATTGGCCAGACGCGGATCTGAGTCAGTAGATCTAGAGATCGAGAGCTCAGTGAAGCCACCTTTATGCCACTTCTTTCAAGTTCTGCATAAACACTATCTTGGAAGATTTCAACAGAACTGGCTATCTGGAAGGGGATGCATCATCTCCAAAAAGATTTGGCCGGTGAACTCCGAACGGAGATCACGGTCACTCTTGTCCATGACGAAGTTGGACTTGAAGCTTGTGGTGGGCCTAATTACAGGTCATTGCAACATAAAGGCCATGACTTCAAAATGGGGGGGTGACGACACTGAATACTGCAGGCTATGTCAGGACGAGGAAGAAACAGAAACGGTGGAACACTTACTCTGTCATTGTCCTACCCTCATCGGAGTAAGACATAGGCTTCTGGGTAAGCACTTACTGCCTGACCTGTCATACCTCTCCGAAACAGAACCAGCAGTCATTCTTCAATTAGCCAGAAGACTAAAATGGCTAAGGACGACACGTTGATTACACCGTGGACGCAAACCCACTAGCTTCTCTAATTCTTCTAAATCCTATATTCTACACTAACTATCTTTCTTACCTCACTTCCACTTCTTTCTAGACTAGGATGATCACAATGGGCCAATAGGTCTCCGAGTGGAGTGGTTGTTGTTTTTACGCAACCACACATCCTTTAACCTAACCTAACCTAACCTACCCTAAGGTGGAGGGTATTAAAAGTTTGGCCCAGCCGAACTTAATGGTTTTTTACTTGTTTTATCTTAAAAAGATTTTTAAATATTGCTGAAATTAATTGTCATACATTTTTAATTTCCCTCATCTGGTAAAATAGATTTGAAGGAAATGAATTTTTTTGGGAATATAGGACAATTGCCGTAAACGAAAAAGTGTTAAGAAGTTGCAGGTATTCAATTATTATTACGCACATACATATGTAAAGCTTATCCAAACAGTTTCCCACAAAGTACGCGTGCCTCGCGGAAATTGAAGGATGTATAATATCCTGAACAACAAAAATATGCATGTGCGCACTTTTTTCAATTTGTATTTCTTTTATTTGTACTTAACATATTTGTATTGTAAAATATATCACTTTGCTTTACTAAACATACATACATATACATATATACAATGAGAGGAAATGTGTTTAGCAAAACATAATACTTATTCTATTCCGAAATAACAAAATAAACACAGTTTTTATGAAAAAGAAAGCGCAATCCATTCATCTCTAAAACATTCCCAAGAGACTCAAATTGAAACACATTCCCATCGTTAGCACCACAATTGATAACACCAATATGGCAAAACATAGATAATTCGATTGTATTGGCATCCGGAATAGTTTCGCAGACATATCCAGCGTTGAGGCAAACATTAGCATCGAGTTGAGATCATCTGTTGAGGTATTGTGATATAGGAATGGTCGGACACGCAGAAAATGTCCATTGCCTTTGACCGTTTGACAGGCATGTGTCAGCGACGAGGCCATAAAGAATGGCATTAGGCCCAGCAGCAGCCACAGCACCACATTTATAAAATTCAAAATAACAATTTTCAATGCTGAATAATGGAAATCGAAATCTTTGAACATAAAAATGAAACCGGCAAAGGCATATGCCAAATTCATGACAATGAAAAAGCACACCGGTATGGAGACATGGTTGTTGAGGCGATCCAATAGTTTACGAAATTCCAGAATTTCCTGCAAAGAATAAGAAATTATTAATATTATTTATCAGTTGCTCATTAAGCCCTTTTGAGGTGAGAGACATTTTCCTCTTTAATTACTTACTCTCATCCAATCCAGAGAGTCTATTGAATGCAGCAGCAACTTTTGTGATAGAGTCATCAAATGGATTTTCAGCAGATAACACTCGATACAGTAGCTACTCAATATGATGATCTCTATAATATCTTGAGCAGCAATTGTGAGTAAGAGAAGTATCTAAAATTGAGAAAAATACATTAACATGACTTTAATATGGGATAATTGGGAATAAATTTGCAAACAAGCTGTCTATACATAGGGTCCCTATTTATTTTGCCAAAAAGTCAAATAAACAAAACAAGTTCTTACAATTTTCTAAAGCTGCGTTTTTTGTCTGGAATACCAAGAAATATATAATATTTTCTAGAGGTTGTTTAACTTTGATTTATATGAAAATATGGTCCTGGCGTCTTATAGTACGTTTATATATATGAGGGTTAACCCACTAGATTTGGATTTAAATTGTCATATCCATTACTTTTACTTCAAATAAATCATCTCAAAGAAGGTTAACCCTACAAAAAGTTCTAACGTAAACATGGCATTATAGTAATACAGTCCTACATAATGCTTGATTATGCTAAGAAGAAGATTATTTTTGTAATCAAGGCCATTATTACAACACGGGCATGATGTGGAAAACATTATCAATATTTATGTTTTTACAGTGTGAGGTGAAGAAACTGCAACCAATTTCAGACTGCTGTCACTAAGCCACTCGTCCGACAGCTGTTAAAATTATTCCAGTGACAGCTCATTATATTGTTTACAAGCGTTCAAAAGCATTTTCCAGAAAAAAAGTTATTCGTGATGGAATTCAAGCGTGATAGTGTGATTTCTTTATATTTGGCTGGAAAACCACAAGGGGCTATAGTTAGAGCACTCCAACATTTAAATGTGAATAAATCTTTGATACTGGTAGCGTAGCCCGACGCCAAGGAAGTGGACGGAAGAAAACAACAACATCAGCAGATATGGTTTGAAAAGTAAAGAAGCGATTTGATCAATTTGGTGCACAAAAAACTAGAAATCGGATAAAGTACATATGGGAGCTATATCCAAATCTGAACCGATTTTGACAAAATCTTAAACACTTATTTCTGAGCTGTATATATCTGGTACCAAAGATTGTTTTTGTGGATGACATATTACGGGTGCGAGTTATAGCTATATCTGAACCGATTTTCACAAAATCTGAAGTACCTGTTTCTAGGATGAATTTAGTTTATTTGGGCTAATATTAGCCATTTGATGAACCTGATATCGGATAGAGCTATTACAATCTCGGATCAGATATAAAATTTGACAGAGGTATTTTTGAGCTTTATAAGTCATATGCTACCAAATATAATTCTTGTTTCTAGACTAAATTTGGTCGGATGTGCCATAATTCAGGTAATTTGGACGGATATTGGTCATTTGGTGTACAATTAACCCAAAATCGGTGGAGCTATATCTAAATTTGAACCCATTCTCACCAATTTCAATAGGGTTCGCCATTGAGACAAACAAATGTTGTTTGAAAAATTTCATCTCAATCGGATAATTAATGCGACCTGCATTTTGTTCACAAGAATACATGGACGGACGAACGGACATATAGACGGACGGACATGCATAAATCGATTCAGAAAGTGATTATATGAAGATCCTCAAAAGTAACTATGGGTCTATTTCGCTTCCTTCTCCATGTTACAAAGAAATGCACAAAGGCATAATACCCTTACCATTATGTGGTGTAGGGTATAGAAATGTGCCTCAAATGGTCCATGTGCTCTTCCAACATTTCGGTCGATGTCTCACAAATAAATGCTTGAATGTTGTCTTCCAGTTGAAGCTGGCTAGTCTGTATGGACATAAGATTTAACATAGCTCCATTAAAAATTAAAGACCAAGCTAAAGATCTTTGACAGTGAAACAAAACACAAAATGTGCGTGGGATGGTTAAACCAGTGTTGCCAAAAAGATAATAGGTAAAAATCTTCCATTTTATCGGTCCACGTATAGGTATAGCCCCAATTAACAGTATTAACATTTTTTGCCTCCAAATGAATTGTAATTTGTTATTTCTGACACTTGGTGATTTCTTTAATTCCTAAATTTAAATTTTAGCGATTTTGAGAATAGCCGATTTAGCTATTCTAATGCAAGCCACACACGTTTCAACTGGTTGTACAACTGGGAGAGGTTGTATTCAAGATTGTATCGTTTGTGGCCCGGTTGTAGGAAGTTGTGTCTCGTTTGTATGAAAAATCAAAAATTTTTTATATTTGGCATGTTGTACCAACCGATTGTAACGTTTGTGGGCATGTCGCATACAATTTCATTTTGTTTTTATTTCTGAAGAGGCAACACCATTGTTTCACACATGAAAATAATATGAAATCCAATTAAATGTTCTATTTTAAAGTATATATAAAATGGAATTTCAATTTATAAAATGGAATTTCAAAAATTTATTATAAATAAAAGCTATTGAGTCAATTATAGAGCATGCATTAACTCAAATAAGCTCTATGAAAAGTGAAGTTGTACTATAAGTTGTATCGTTTGTGACAGAAACACACAATTTGAGTACTCTCGAAGTTGTACAACCAGTTGTATTGTGTGTGGCTTGCATAAGGCTGTAAAAAATCCCGGCCGAGTTCAACGTAGTTTTTACTTGTGTTTTTTTTATTGGCTGAATGAATAGAACTCTCAATTTTCTGATTCGTAGTTGAAAATTCAATTGTGTCACCGTTATAAGAACGTTAAAAATATTACAAATACATCAAGAACTTATTAAGCCTAATTTATTCTTTGTTTGCCGACGCTGTGCCTTGAACTCAAAACCTTTGATTTTGTAGACGGATACGCATACTCAATGCCGCTGTTATTCATTACTTCTTTCGCTATGTACATTTTTTAGAGAATATCCCATTATTTTTCAGCTTCTAATAAAACAAAAGATAGTTTGTTTAAGTTACCTTGCAATGTGTTACAAATGTTTCGCCAAAACCAACTGACATTGCCCCTTCAATGTTGTCTTGTAGGGTATATACATAGGAATTTTTTTATCACTCTATAAATTCTAAAATAAACATACATAAATCTGCTACTGATAAAATATTTCCCTATAAAATTATTTACTAGCATTGAATTTATTTGCCCACCTGGCAAAATTTACGTTTGCAGCAGAGCGGAGCCGGGTCGAGAGTAATTTATTATCTCATAAATAAATGTTAATTAAAAGGGCCGCTCACTCGATCTTTGTTATCAGTTTGCTTACTTTAAACCAACTACACAAACAACACACACACACATGCAAGTACATACCTTTACAGATAGCCCCAGATCAGTTTCCATGTGAGACAACCACTTGACCTTGATAATGGTGGGCTGCATCACCACCACCGGAACGACGTATGCATAGAGGCAGCCAAAAATGATGAAAGCCAAGGCAATGTGCAGCCAAAGGATGCGACACAAACGTTTCGGTTGCATTGACATGAGAAATGTGCGTTCGATTAGATTCTGCAGTTGTTCCTGGTCAATGAACTTGCAGCATATGATGGCCGACACATAACCGGCCAAATCCAGCAAAAATGGTATGACATAGCCAAAAATCAATTCACCAATTGTTTGTGAGGCATTGTAATCCGGCTGAGATGCCAGAGAGGCATTTTCATCGGTTAAATGAAGACTCTTGAGATTTGTTGAAAAGCCACGATCACCGCTGATGCAATTGAAACGGAAGATAAAAATAACTGTGTCAGGGCATTCCAAGAAAACGAAACAACGGACAACAAAGAAAGCAATGAGCAATTCCATCATTTAACTTACCGATACGATGACAAATACTGGAGAAAATAACCGAATATCAGGACGACCACCAGGCTGAGACACTGAAAATAACTTAAAAATGAACGACATTTGGTGGTGTCCGTCGATATGGGATTTAGACCAACCAGCGATAAAATGATCATGTAGGGGCGTAAGAACTGCAGCCGGTGGGGAGCGGAGCATTTCGATGAATCAACAATAAAACAAAAGAGAATTATTACAATGCACAGACAAACGAGAAATTCACATGAAACTTACCGTCCGCTTACAATAGTCCAGTATGGCCGAGGTCGGTTCATTCTGATAGTCTTCATTCTGTGGCAAATTCCAACGATTTATAAAACAAAAAGAACTATTAGCTGCTTCATTCTGGTACATTTCCACAGAGCGGGGGTGATAATGTGTTTATTTGTTATTGTAGAGTTATAATGTTGTTAGGAAGATACTATGTACATGTGATGGCGTTAATCGCTTATGATAAACTGTTGTATTTATTTTTACAACACCGTGAACAATAACAAATGCTGCTTCTTTCTTCAAGTTATACTAAATCACTCACTAAATACATTGTTTTTTGTTTACATCGATCGATCGGTCGATCGCCAGAGTTATTGCGCGCCCTAACAAACGATGATAAAAAATCGAAAGAGCGCCTCAATGAATCTGTACAAGAGACGAAGTTAATTTGCGGAGAGACCGAGAAACAGCCGTCGTCGTAATTGCTTTGTCAAATTTTCTGCTTGAGCGAAATCCAAACGGTTAATAATTCTATTGATATTATATTTTTGGAGTCTGCTACTGTAAAAGGTAGCGGCACAACTGAGATACTCCCGCATTTGAATCATATGCTGCGACGTCGTCGTTGTCGGCGCCGTCATTGACGACGCAATGCAGTCAGCGAACCAAAACAATTTGGTAGTTCAGAGATCACTCATTAAAATTTATAAGAGAAGTGGTTGTTGGTAGTGGTCGACTTGGAAATGTAGTAGGCGTAAACCAGTAAGGAAAGGTCAAAAGTAGGGTGGGGCCTACTATATGATACCCTACACCACTATGCGTATTTAGTAGAGCTCCCGTAACAAAAAAGTTTATTTTGAGAATTTACATGAAGTCGATCATGCCAACTATGAATCTTATTTGATCATGGCTTTAAGAATTCACAATTTGGGAACTATATCTAACACAGAATCGATTTTCACCGAATTTGTCGGAGGCTTTTGCACCTCTAGTGCCAAATAACATTGCTCTATAGTGCATGATATGACTTCGATAAGAATTATATTAAAAAATATTTATTAGATCAATAGATTTACCGGACCAAGTTTCACCAAATGAAAAATTCGGTGGAATATGAAAAAATCTATCCAATTTGGGCTGATATTATTGGTATTTTCGAGCAGAATCTGATGTCCAGTATCAAATATCATTGTTTTGAAATGTATATTACGCATGTGAGGGACTTAAACGCCAAATCGGATGTAACATATTTTAAATATTTGTTTCTAGGATAACAGTCGGAATTGCCAAAATTCAATCCATTAGGGCGAATATTAGCCATTTGGTGCACAATAAACCTGATATAGGAAAAATATATAAACGTAGGCTGAATCCTAATCTGATCCGATCTCGATAAAATTTGACAGAAATATTTTTGAGCTACATAAGCATATTTTGCATGTGAGGGACTTAAAAGACCAAACTGGATGAAACATATATATGGGAGCTATAACTATATCTGAACCGGTTTCTACCAATTGCCAAAATTCAGGTCATTTGGACTGCTATTAGCCATTTGGTGCACAAGAAACCCTAATATAAATATATATATGGGAGCTATATCCAAATCTGAACCGATCTTCACAAAATTTTTAACACTTTTTTCTGAGTTGCATCTGTTATCTGAAACCAAAGATTATTGTTGTGGAGTGTATATTACGAATGTGAGGGACTTAAAACCAAATCTGATGAAACAAATATATGGGAGCTATAACTATATCTGAACTTGCTTCTAGACTTAATTTGGTCGAATGTGCCAAAATTCATGGCATTTGGATTAGTATTGGTCATTTGGTGCACAATTAACCCGAAATCGGTTGAAGACATACAGGAGAAGATGATAAAACTGCAACCAACTTCTGACTGCTGTCATTTTCAAGACACTCGTTCGGCACCTGTTAAAATTATTCCAGTGACAGCTGAATACACTGTTTACCAGCGTACAAAGGATTTTGGTCAGAATTTTCCAGAAAAAAAGTTATTCGTGATGGAATTCAAGCGTGGAATTGTGATTTCTTTATATTTGGCTGGAAAACCACAAGTGGCGATCGTTAGAGCACTCCAACATTTAAATGTGAATAAATCTTTAAATGAAATAAATCGTTGGACTATTGTGTCTGGAGTATTTTGGAAAGCAAAGTTGACTCTAAAAATACCAAAGTGTCGATCACCTCAAGCAAGCGCTTCGCCGGGAATGGACCAAAATAGAGCAACATTCGGGCAGAGTATGACGGTTTCATTGGCTGGTTAAAGGCCATAATTCGTGCCAAAGGTGACCAATCGAACAAATCTAAACTTATTCAAAAATGTCATGCTATTTCCGACATTTTTTGCTTTCATTCAATAAAACTAAAAGAAAAATGAAAAAATTATGGTGTTTGATTTTGTGGCAGTTTTGAATTGATTCTCACAAATTTCAATAGGATTCGTCCTTGGGCCAAACAAATATTGTTTGGAAAATTTCACCTCAATTGGATAATAAATGCGACTTGCATTTTGTTCACAAGAATACATAGACAGACGGACGGTCGAATGGACTGACATGCATAAATCGATACAATGAAAAATTTGATAGAACTAAAAACTTAAAATTTGATATGAGAATGAAGGTTGAAAAGTAAGTTTGATATATGTTGGTGTTATTGGAAATGTATACTGGGTGTGCGAACTGTACTAAACTGGCACTAAATTTGAAATTTGGTTTAGGGTGAACGAATGAAGTTGGAATTTTTAAATTTTTTATTGGGGTCCCTTTTGGTTTTGGTTTGTGATAAAGAAGTGGTTTTGGAAATGGGTGGTAAAGGTGCTCGAAAAGTACAAAATATTACTATATTTGGTACAATTTGGTATTGGGTGAACAGATAGTGTTTGAATTCTAAAATATAGTATTAGGGTCGATGTTCATGTGTAGCTTGGACATTTTGAAATGTGTACTATAATTTTACGAAAAGTACTGAATGCTACATTATTTGGTAATGGTTGAAGGAATAGAGACACAATTCTGAAATTTGATATTTAGATTATTGAAAATTTGAAGATGGTTTGAAAATGCATCCTATATTTGCACGAAAAGTACTAAATGATACTATATTTGGTATTGGTTGAGAGAATAGAGCTGGAATACTAAAATTTTATATTGAAGCCTCTGTTGGTATCTGGAGTTGATTTTGAAAATGTGTACTATAATTGTGCGAAAAGTACTAAATGGTAATACGACTTATATTTTTACGAAAAGTACTCAATGGTACTATATTTGGTATTGGGTGAAGGATGGGACTGAAATCCTCAATGCAAATTTTCAAATTTGATATTTACGTAACTATTGGTATCTGAGCTTGAGATTGGGAGCTAGGTTTGGGTATGCGAACCATAATTGTACGAAAAGTACTAGAAGTTACTAAATGTTGTATTGGATGAAGGGATAAAGTTGAAATTCTGAATTAAGGTCTCTGCTGGTATCCAGTGGTGGATCTGCATATGATACTACACATTTCCTTGTTCGAAAAATGCTAAATGGTTCTTATTTTCGATAACTGTGGCTGTCTAGGATGGAGAGGTGTAGATTGTTTTAGGTATGTGTAGTAAATGTTACTTAATTAGTTATTGGGTGAAGGAATAGGGCTGATATTGATATTGAGATCTCTGGAATTGAGATATGGAGGTGCTTTTTGAAATGTGTGCTATAATTGTACGAAAAGTACTAAATTTTGTATTGGGTGAAGGAATAGAACTGAATTCCTGGAATTTGAAACTGCGATAACTGTTTGTGTCTTGGATTGAGAATAAGTACGCAAAATAATAAATGTTAATATATTTGGAATTATGTGAAGAGATAGATACATAATTCCGAAATTTGATATTTACATTACTCTTGGTATCTGTGTTTGAGATTTGACAGTGGTTTGGAAATGTGTACTATAGTTGTACGAAAAGTACTGAATGGTACTCCATTTGTTATTGGGTGAAGGGATAGAGATACAATTCTAAATATTCATATTTAGATTACTAATGGTATCTGTGGTTAAGTCTTGGCAGTGGTTTTGAAAAGAGTATATTTGTACAAAAAGTACTGAGTGGTACTAAATTTAGTATTGAGTGAAGGGATAGAGATAAAATTTGATAAAGATAAAGATGAATTTGAATTTGATATTTGGATTACCGATGTGGTTTAGAAATGCTTAAATCCTGAAATTTGATATTGCGATCATTGTTGGTGTCTAGGATTGAGAGGTGAAACGGTTCTTCAAATGAGTATTAAAATTATACGAAAAGTATTGAATGTTACTAAATTTGGTTTTAGGTCAAGGGATAGAACCGAAATTCTGAAATTTTATATTGTTTTCTAGGGTTTACATATAGAGACGTTGACATAGTTTTGGACAGAAAAATTGGATGTTGGTCCAATATTGTTTACTATTTAACAAATAAAGGAATAATGCTGACGACTCTTCAATAATCCAGCTAGTGTAGTGTATCGCTTGTTCTATGAACCCCTCAGCGAAGCATTTTATAGCTGTCAACAATTGGATATTCTTTGTAGAGTAAATTTTGCATGTTAAGCGACCATAAAACTCATAATTGATAAGAAATATTTCTTATCTTCCACGAGAGCACAATGCGTTATATGAATTATACTGGATAATATTCTGATAAAAAACAACGCCTGTGTTGTGTTTCGTTATGTGAATGACCCCCCCGCTTTAGATAAAATCGACAGAGAGTTCATTATTACAATTAATAATGATAAATTTCCATTATAAAAATGTTTGATTTTACTAATTGTGTGCTGATGGTTAATGGGAAAATATTTTGAAAAAATATCATGTAAAATAACATAATAAAATAGGCACTGAATGAATTCAAATCTATATATGGACACTTGTATATAAATTAATCTAAGTGACGAGCCCATTTGTTGTGTTATATTCAGAATACATTTTGTTGTTTGTTAAAATACTTATAGACTGTGATAAACAACAAATATCTCCAGTGTATAATTAATACTAATTAAATCGATACGGAAAATTTCTACTAGATTTTATCTAGCATTTTTAAATGTTGTTTTTGTTGCTAATATCTTGATGTTGCTTATACAGTGATCATGGTTAAAACCACAAATATCAAACTGGGATTCAATGTAAAATCTTATATAGTGGGGTTTTGACCAAATAACATTGGATTGCAAATTCGCTGAAACTTTAATGTTTTTAAAAACCGTAGACTTTTTAGATGGTAAGAACATATTGAATAAATTTGTCAAGCAGAGGTGGACCATTGTGGGAGCCGAAACAATGGAAAGGTTATCAAGAAGTTAACAATTCCACTAGAACCTGTCTGATAAATAGTGTATTACATTATGTGGTTTCAACATATATCAGATATCAGAGTCATTCAAAATTAGGACCATCGAATGAAGTTGTACTGATATTTTGTTCCATATATCTATATATATAAATGTAAGTTGTGTTAGTTACTACGCTTATAACTTAAGAACCGCTGGACTGATTTTAACGAATCACACAAATTTGGAATTGTCTCCTCTCCGAAAAGGATAATATCCAAAAAATCGCGTAAAAATGTGATATATTAGAATTTTCATTTTGACTTTTGAAATGTACAATAGTAATGTTTTATTTTGCATGATTTTTTCCATTTTGACTTACTTTTTTCTAATGTACATTTGTAGTGTTTTTTATATTTTATTTTTGAATTCGAATATTAATACCAATTTATTTAATTGACTTGATTTCTTAAGAACTGAAATCGATGGAGGGTTACGTGGAAGTGTAGTACCGAATTATGTGGTGGCGAAACGGAATAGATGATATCGAAATAATTTAACGCGGTCACACGAAAGTTAAAAGATAATTACTTTTTCAAAATCGCTAGAAAAAATCATGAAAAAGAATTCTCAAAAATTCTCAAATCGGGAAAAGATCGAAAAAAATTACAATGGAATCGAATTACAAAATAATAGTACATTCTATTGTCAAACTTTGTAAGGATCTTTAAAATGAAATAAGTGTTAAATAGGATGTTAACTGACATATACCCTTCAACTCGAGGGCCTACATCGTGGTTCAGCTGGAAAATGCGCAGACATTTAAACAAACAAAAATGACCGAAAAAGACTAATGGGGCTCATTTCAAAGCATGGACCTTCTTCTTTCATGTGACAATAATCCGTCCAATGAGAGCTCAAAATGCAAAATTCTTTGAGAGTACAATCAGTAAAATACCAAATTTAAAGTGTGCAAAATAGTAGAGCGAATGGGACTTTTAGTATGAAAAGGATTTATATCCTTCCAGAAATTCTTTCAAAACATTCAAGATTACTTAAATCGCTTTTGCAGGTCTTGATATCGATCATGACTCACGGATAAGGGTACAACCCGATTTCATATTTATATAACCATCTATGATTTAAGCTATTTTTGGGGTCTTGGCCACTTTTTCATTTTTTTGGCCCTTATTTGAAATTTTCAAAGTTGGTCTTGACCACCTTCATCAATTGATTTAGCTAAAAAATTTTATTTATACTACCCTGTGGTAGGGCACCATCATACAGATAATTGTCACACAGGAAAGTTTGGAGTATCCCCAAGTCCACTTTCACATCTAATGTGTGGTCAGAAAAGAAAATTTTGTATTCTATTGAATTTTTAACCCCCAAGAGAATATTGGTTAGGTATAACCCTCATATGAATGTATCCCTGATTCCAGTTATGACTGTGGTCTTGGCAACGTTTTTCAACTGATTTGGCTATTATTTGGCATCTTGGCTTTTCTGTTTCGAGGGTCTTGACCACATTTTCCAATCGATTTTGCTGTATTTAGGCTACTTTGTGAGTAGAGAACCATTGTACAGAAAAATGTCAACATACGTAAATATTTTGGTACAGTCCCCAGGGCCGCCGATCTATTGTGATTTTTACCGATTGGCGGACGACAACACGGGAATTGTTTAATCGTCATTTACTATGAACAAGAACATAGACTTTTTGGGGACGCTAATGCGCAATTTGAGGTGCTAAGGCGTAATTAACTTATTATTATTATTTTGCCCTCCTTCCATAGGTATTTATTTCTATTTAGTCGGATCAATATTTATATTAAAATTTGTTCACCTTTAAAATTTGCATTACAGACTAGAACTACGGGCCGGCAACGCGGACCGGGCCAGCTAGTAATTAAATAAAGTAAATAAAAAGCAAAAAGGATGCATTAAAAATAGCGGCTAAAATCAAAATACCGAATATCAGGAGGTACCATTATATTGTCCCCAATACGATATCGTGAACCGATATTAGCCCATCTTTAAAGTTGACCTGTCTGCATGCAATAAACTGATCCGTCTTTCTCTGTTGGTGTCTGGATTTTAATTGTACGAAAAGTACTATCTTTGGTATTTTGTGAAGGAAGGAGACATCAAATGTTTTTGTCCAAAAATATTTCAACGTTTCCATATTTAGAACCCTAGAAACCAACATTGAACTCAATATCACCCAATACTAAATATAGTAACATTTAATACACATATCCAAAACAATCTACATCTCTCCATCCCAGACACCAAAAGTGATCTAAATTTAGTACCATTTAGACGTATAAATACAAATATCGTACAAATATAGGACGCAATTCCAAACAATCGCCAAATCCCAAACACATATACCATCAGTAATCTAAATATAAAATTTCAAAATTTTATATCTACCCAATTCTAAATTTAGTATCATATGGTACAATTCGTATTATTTTATTTCTTATTTGCAAAACCGCTCCATATCTCAATCTAACACACAAAGAGCTATCGCAGTATAAAATTTTAGTATTTCAGCTCTATTACTAGCCCCAGCACCAAATGTAGTACGATTTAGTACTTTTAGTACAAATATGAGATGCATTTCCAAACAATCGAAAAATCTCTCACACAAATACAATCAGTAATCTAAAAATCAAATTTCAGAATTTTATATATATCCCTTTATCCACTACCAAATATAGTACCATTCATTACATTTCATACAATTATAGTACTTATTTTGAAACCGTTCCATATCTCCATATCCAAGAGCTATCGCAATATCAAATTGCAGGAGCTTTATTTCTTCGCCCATTATTAAATATAGTACTATTTAGTACATTTCGTACAATTATAGCACAGATTTCCGAAACCACCTCCATATCTTAATCCAAGAAACAAATAGAGATCTCACTATTAAATTTCAGAATTTTAACTCTATCCCTTCCCCCAATACTAATTTAGTGCTATTCGTGCAAATATAGGACACATTTCCAAACCATAGTCAAACTTAAATACAGATATCATCAATAATTGAAAGTTTTGCCTCTAATGCCAAATGTATTATCATTTAGTACTTTTTCGTATAATTTAAGAACTTATTTGCAAAACCGTTCAGCAGTTATAGCAATAACAAATTTCAGAATTTCAGCTCTATTCCTTCACCCAATACCAAAGATAGTACTTTTCGTACAATTATAGTACTCATTTACAAACCCACCTCCATATCTCAATTCCAGACACCAACAGAGAAAAAAAGCTAACATTTTGCACAGATCAATTTATTGCATGCAGACAGGTCAACTTCAAAGATCCGCTAATATCGGTTCACGATATCGTATTGGGGACAATATAATGGTACCTCCTGATATTCGGTATTTTATTGATTTTAGCCACTATTTTTAATGGATTTGTCTGGAATCTGTTGAGTGAATTTCTCAATAGGCACTTATGAACCGGACAAAAATTTGTGTAAATAGGTCTGCTATTGCCTATAGCCCCATAAAATGGTACCTCCAGATATTCGGTATTTTGATAATTTTAGCCACATTTTCCAATGGATTGTTTGGAATTCGATACGTGAAATTCTTATTACGTACTTATAACTCTGATATAAAATTGTGTAACTAGACCTACGGTTGCATATAAAATTGCTCCCAGATATTCGGTATTTTCAGGAAAGGAAGGGAAGGAATTTTAATATTTTTCTCACAAAAGTTTGGCGATTATTGTGGGCGTATTTCTTTTCCTAAGCTTAAACTTCAATTGACATTTCCCGCCTATCGGATTATATTTTTAACCAGTAGATCTGTTACAAAATCGGATAAAAATTATGTATTTGGATCATCGCCAAAAAAATGTAAAAAGAAACAGCTAAGTTCGGCCGGGTCAAACTTTTTATATCCTCCAACATTTGGAACGAATTTAAAGTTAAAAAATAATAAAATTCGCTAAGAATTCTAAATTCTAACAATACCGAATATAGCCGTTATATTGGGGTCTATACGAAGATGTGGACCTACCTGCATAGGCAACTCTAAATGCGACATTTGAAACAACTCCGGTGAATAATTTCCCTAAAATCGTCAGAATATCGAATATCGGAGGGACCGTTGTATGTGGGCTATACGATATCGTAGACCTATATAGACATGTGCACAGGAAGAACTTCTAGGATGGATTTTAGACAATTCCAATCTAAAATCGTCGAAATATCGAATACAGGGAGGAACCGTTGTATGGGGGGTATACGATAGCGCGGACATATATAAGCATTTCTCTTTCCGGACGTAAAGACAAACTCATTAAGCAATTTGGCTACAATCATCAAAATGCCGAATATCGGGGGGCTGATATATGGGGCTATATAATATCGTGGACGTATATAGCCTATCTTCGAACTTCACATCGTCTTAGAATTTTACGCTGATCAAGATTATATATACAGTGTTATGTCTAAAATTAATATATCGATGAGTTATGGCGGAGGGTATAAATATGGATAGAATTCTATTTTCATTTTTGTTTACAATGTTTTCTAAGATGGATTATTTATTTTTAGACAAGTTGATAATAAAAAATGAAACATCTGTTACCACTCTTATCACAAAACGACTTATTTAATTTGTTGCATTCAAATTATTTAAAACAAAGGGCGTAATGATGAATGTTGATGAAATGGCTAGATGATTTGCCTCATTTACAGCACGCTTTTTTACTTACTAAAATCTCAGTCATACTGACAGCCACAATGGAAGACCCTGTTGTCAGGGGATGATAAAATGAACCGCCACGTGAGAGTGGTGGCCGGCTAATTGCATCTGTGCTGGTGTGACGACCCAAAACCGTAGTTATTCCCAAGGTCTCACGACCCTCCGAAGTACTAGTACTCAGACTTGTGTAGGCAACAGGTTTTGTAGAGCAGGCAGGTCCATCGGAATCAGAACTTTTCGCCTCATCTTCACTTTTCAATGACATCGATTGGATGCTATCACTTGATTCACTATCACTTTCTTTTGACGCACCCATCTGTTGCTGTGCATATCCATTTTCTTTATCACCATTGGTTTCTTTGTTTTCCTTCGATTCCTCGGTTTTAGTATTTTGACCATTAGGGCTATTGCCATTATATGGTGGTATTGTGGATAAATCGGGTTGTTCCATCAAAGCTATATGGCCATCCCAATCGGTGAGCACTGCGTCGGCACTTACAATTGTTTTGTTTACCTTTGGTGACGTCATTTTTGCACTGTTTTGAAAGGCTTTTCCAATGGATTCTAAGAGATATTATCTTAACCAAAATATTCTACAAATTCCGTATATTTTCTCAAAGTTAATCCATTTTGCCTTGATTTTTATCTAAATTCTTTACTATATATTTTGTTGTGGTCGGAACATGTATACAAGTATATGCAATATTCGTTTCGAGAATTATATTTAAATTATGATGGCCGTATCTCTTCGCGTCGTTTGTATTTAAATGCCGGACGTTGACTAAACTGCATCTGTTTTGTTTGCTCTGTCCAGAGTATTGCGTTGTAGTGGTGATAACTCAACGTTTTCTTATCAGAAAATTACCAAATCTGCTCCATGAAATGCATTCTCCTGAGATCAGCTCTCTCGCTATGTTGCCAGTACACTATATTGAGATTGGCAGGGATGGGAATTAAAGAACATATATTGTATATTCATTATTTCCATAGAAAATAAAATGGTCGAATTTTTTTGAAAACCAAAATATCTTCTTCAAGAGGGAAGTCTGGGATGTTTTTTGTAGAAAACTCGATAGTCTTCCTTGAGAAGATGTAAATTTCTTCCATATGAAGACCAGAAGGTCTTAGTAGAGAATACCAGCTAGTCTTCTAATTGAAGACCAGTAGGTTTTCTTATATAAGGCAAGTGAAGAAGAGGTGATGGTCTTCTTCCATAGAAGAGCAGAAGATCTTTCTCTGTAGAATACCAGAAGACAATAAGGTGTTCTTATAGAAGACCACAAGGTCTTCTTCCACAGAAGACCACAAGATCTTCTTCCATAGAAAACCACAAGATCTTCTTCCATAGAAGACAACAAGGTCTTCTTCGATAGAAGAGAAGAAGGTCTTCTTCGATAGAAGAGCAGAAGGTCTTCTTCGATAGAACAGCAGAACGTCTTTTTCGATAGAAGAGCAGAAGTTCTTCTTCTATAGAAGATAAGAAGGTCTTCTTCTATAGAAGATAAGGAGGTCTTCTTCGATAGAAGACCAGAAAAACTTCTTATAGAAGAAAAGCAGGTCTTCCTATAGAGGACCAGAAGGTCCTCCTATAGAAGACCAGAAAGTCTTCCTATAGAAGACCAGAAGGTCTTCTTCGATAGAAGACCAGAAGGTCTTCTTCGATAGAAGACCAGAAGGTCTTCTTCGATAGAAGACCAGAAGGTCTTCTTCGATAGAAGACCAGAATGTCTTCTTCGATAGAAGACCAGAAGGTCTTCTTCGATAGAAGACCAGAAGGTCTTCTTCGATAGAAGACCAGAAGGTCTTCTTCGATAGAAGAGCAGGAGGTCTTCTTCGATAGAAGACCAGAAGGTCTTCTTATAGAAGAGCTGAAGGTCTTCCTATAGAAGAGCTGAAGGTCTTCCTATAGAAGAGCTGAAGGTCTTCCTATCGAAGAGCTGAAGGTCTTCCTATCGAAGAGCTGAAGGTCTTCCTATCGAAGAGCTGAAGGTCTTCCTATCGAAGAGCTGAAGGTCTTCCTATCGAAGAGCTGAAGGTCTTCCTATCGAAGAGCTGAAGGTCTTCCTATCGATGAGCTGAAGGTCTTCCTATCGAAGAGCTGAAGGTCTTCCTATCGAAGAGCTGAAGGTCTTCCTATCGAAGAGCTGAAGGTCTTCCTATCGAAGAGCTGAAGGTCTTCCTATCGAAGAGATGAAGGTCTTCCTATCGAAGAGATGAAGGTCTTCCTATCGAAGAGCTGAAGGTCTTCCTATCGAAGAGCTGAAGGTCTTCCTATCGAAGAGCTGAAGGTCTTCCTATCGAAGAGCTGAAGGTCTTCCTATCGAAGAGCTGAAGGTCTTCCTATCGAAGAGCTGAAGGTCTTCCTATCGAAGAGCTGAAGGTCTTCCAATAGAAGAGCTGAAGGTCTTCCTATAGAAGAGCTGAAGGTCTTCCTAGATCAGAAGGTCTTCCTATAGAAGACCAGAAGGTCTTCCTAGATCAGAAGGTCTTCCTATAGAAGACCAGAATGTCGTCCTATAGAAGAGCAGAAGGCCTTCTTTCTGAGAAGAGCAGAAGGTATCCTTCTGAAACTTTTTATAGAAAACCAAAAGTTCCTTCCGGTCCTTATAAACGACAAGAAGTTCTTGTTATAGAAGGAAACGTAACGTACACATTACCTGCAACCTGCTCTTCAAATCGAATTTCAAATAATTGATATCTACCAAAAACTTTATAAACTGCCTCACCAAACCACTGCTCTCTTACTTTAATCCTCTCCATCCCCTCTTCAACATCAGCTAAGAAATTAAATACACAATCAACTGTTCGTAACTCAACAATTGTTATTGAACAATATTAGAGACAGAGTGCATTTGGAGTATCGAATGATTGCACGTATCCGTAGCAATGTATAGGACATCAATCTATCTGCAACAGCTATGGATACGTGTCCCATAACCATCCCCTCCCCTCTGATCATAACACAATCGATAATAAAGTTTATCAATAAATCGGTTAAGAATAAACGATTTTCTCTCAACAACAATGGCCATTGAAAAGGAATAAGCAGCAATAGCCGAAGAAGACGAAGAGGCAAAAGCTGATGAAGAAAAGCTCCTAATTGAAAAGGTTTTTGAAGTGAGCCAATGTTAAGACGATCCAAACAAATAACCAATTGTACAAATACTTCTCGAAGCAAAACGAATGCAACGGAAGAAGTTTCGTATTGTCTGGATGTGATGCAAAGTGACTTAAGTCTTTTTTAATGGAACATAGTAGTATTTTTAAATCGAAATAATATCACAATTCTATTTCTCTTCGATTCCGAGGTAGATCAATTTTTAAATCAGAGCCTTCTGCAGTGTATATAAAAATATGGAGAATATAGTTACGAAAACTTTATGTTACGAAATATGATGCCGCTGTTGTGCAAAATTGTTGATTTATCTATTTTCAAAATTGATTTGAAAACCGTCCTGGTGACATTGCCTTTATTCTTAAAATGAAGTTATTGCATTTCGCATTTCACCAACAAATATAGATGTTGTCAGATAACAAAGCTAAAGTCTACTTGAAATCTCTTTATTTTACTCGCCATTTGATTTTCTGTTTGCGAAATGGAATTGCCCAGAAATAAATCGACCTAAATCAACTGGCAAAAATTTGTGTGGTTTGTTGTTGCTGTATTTAAGTAAATTAATCAAAAAATCTACTTTAGTTTTATTATTGGCTAAGCAAAGTGGGTGGGAAATCCAAAGGAAATATTTCAGCCAAACACTGTGGTATGGCATTGATTTAATGAATGATACATTATACCCAGCAACACTATGTTTTGAATGTATTATAAATTTTATAAGGGATTAGAGGATGGGTCGAGATAGAAACCTACCAATTCGGATGGTCATCGGTTAATTTTGAGCGCCTGAAATGGAAAATGCCAAGGGTTCTGCTCAACCACGAATGTTTTTAATGCTTTAAGTCAGATCCCGGCGATTATTATTTTGAGTTGCCATTAGCACAATAGGAGACGTAAATATAGGACAGGTATAGGAAATTACATATGATTTTGTGGCTCCCTTTAGTAAGACATTATTTAAAAATAAAATAAAACATTATAGTTCTCATTATAAGCTTTCTTAAAAATAATTGTAAGTAAAGATCAAGTTAGTCAGCCTTTTGCAGGGTAAGTCCGAAGCACATTGTTAAAAATCTTTTTCTTTCCTGATCAAAATGTTAGGACTTGCAAACAGTTAGAGATTTTTTCTGGTAACATCTTAAGTTGGGCAGGTAACATATTAATCTGTCTATCAATTCGTAATTTCAAAAGAAACGATTGTGGACGATATTAAGTTCAAAGACTTTTTGGATTTTTTCTTAAATTTTTGCGACATCATAATTTTTTATACCCTCTTACATACATAGTATGGAGGGTATATTAAGTTCGTCATTCCATGTGTAACTTATCGAAATAATAATTTTAGACCTAACAAAGAACATATTCTAGATCAGCGTAAAATTCTAAGACGATTTGTCCCTGTCCGTCCGCCGGTCCGTCTAGAGTCAAAACGAACTAACATTTTGCACATATCAGCCTTTTGTCTGCTGGCAGGTCAAGTTCGAAAATGGCTTATATTGGTCCACGATATCGTGTAGCCCCCATATAACGATACCTCCAATATTCGATATTTTTTCATTTTAGCCACACATTTCATTGGAATTGTGAGTACTTTAACCTCCCGGTACCTCCCGATGTTCGGCATTTTGAGGATTTTAGCCAAATTTTTCATTGAAGAATTGAGAATTGTGTATATAGGTTCACGATAATTGGTAATCGGTAATTGAATGACTGTAGCAAAATTTTTCAATGGAATTGTGTGAGACTGCACACAAGGAGTTCTCTCTGAGTACTTTACCACCTGGAAGGGAATTGTCTACATGGATCTACAGGTCACAACGAATTGACACGGAATTTTACATAAGGTTAGGGCAGAAGTGTTTTATTCAGGATGACCTTTAAATTATATTAGCGGGTAAAATGGACCAAAACATTTGTGTAAAATTGATAGGTGTCCTATCAACAAGACATAGAGTGTAAATATAAGGAGAATATTTCCTGTAGAAAGCAAAGGTAATATTTGTGCAGGGCGGTATGACACTATTTAAAATAATCGACTAAAATGTGTTTGGACTTAAGGAGGTTCTCCAATATATTATAGTGTTGTAGATTGAAAATGAGCTATATTAGTCCATGTTTAGGTATAACCTCCATATAACAGCATCTCCTAGTTTTCGGTATTTTGAAGGTTTCTGCCACAATTTCCAACCAAATTAGATAAAACTTGGAATTGAGATTCTCGTTAGGTCTGTTCCCTATTTAAAAATTCGATTCAGATCCACTAATTGGTATAGCACCCATATAACGGTATAGTATGGTGGATGATATAAGAGGCAGCTATATTGGAATCAAGAAAGAAGTTAGCAACGTCATCTTCACTTCCACTTACTCGGAAACTGTGAATAAGATCAGACCTGCAATGAGGTTTTTTCCAAGAATCCGGGAGCAGAGAGTGAGCAAGAGAGAGAGAGAGAGAGGCAAAAAGTTATCTAAATCTTGAAAAAGATGAACCCAAAAAAAAATGAGCGTGAATATTCTGCAATAAATTTTCGGATAGGCGAAGATAATGGTAACTAAGGAGATTAAAAGTTTTTCCTGAAAGAGCCAATATATATATATATATATATATATATATATATATATATATATATATATATATATATATATATATATATATATATATATATATATAT